GGAGGGAGAGGCTAAGAGGGATGGGGTGAGACAAAGAAACTCACAGCACGAACGCCACTGAGGTCGGCTCCTAGCCATAACAACAAGTGTATCCAGCCAAACGTGTTCATCATCTTTTGGACCCCAACCAGGGAGCCGAGATGCTCCAACCGAGGCCAACTCAGAAGTGAGGGTCTTCATTGCTCTCGACCAAGTCATCGCTTGGCCACCTCTCCTCTTCTTCCATCCACACCCCCGGCGCACAAACAACGCACATCGCGGGAGTCGGTGGGCTGGCATGCGTAACACGTGGCCGAGCCATCGGAGCCTGGTGCGTGAAATAACGGTGCTGAGCGGTTCATTTCCATTTCCTGTGCCATAAACAAGGCGTCGAACACGCTCGTTGTTCACGCGGTGTTCCCACCAGATGTGAGCTAAATTGCTAAGGCACCGGTGGTCGAACGTAACTAGCCTCTTTATGTCCGCTGACCTAAGGGGCCAGATTTCACAACCGTACAGTAGTGTCCAACATACCGCTGCATCGTACACTCTACCCTTCAGGGCGAGAGCGATGAAGCCCCGGCGCCACAAGTGGCGAAGGTTAGCAAAAGCGTCTCGAGCTTTTGCTATGCGATACGTGATCTCACCTTCAATCTCACGGGCGCTGATACAAATTCCTAGGTAGATGAATTTTTGAACGACTTCTAGCTGACCCCCCCAACGATCAGGGTAGGAGGCGGACCAGGCCAATCTTGTAGGAACGCTTTGCACTTCGATGGTGCAAAGCAAAGCCCGAAACAGCTGACAGCCAATGCTAATCTGTCCAGTGCCGCTTGGCACGTTTGTGAACCGTCACAGATAAGGGCAATATCGTCAGTAAAATCCAAGTCAAGAAGTCGTTCTCCTGAGAACAGATCCACACCTTCTAAGTCATGTCCTGTAAATGCAATCTCCATGACTTCGTCATGTTGAAGGGGAAAGGTGACACCGGGCATCCTTGTCTCACACCGCTGGAGATATTAAAGTGCGAAGACAACTTGCCGTAAGCCCTCACTCTGCCCGAGCTACGCGCCTATAATGATCGGATAATATTTACATATTTCTCAGGAACACCATTCCTGAGTAGACAGTCCCAAAGTGCACATCTATCCACCGAATCGAATGCACATTTGATATCGAGGAACGGTGGGCCGCCAATAGATGTGATGGTGCTCCGACAACTGACGCAAAGTGAAGATGTGGTCAATGCAGCCACGACCTCGACGAAACCCGGCTTGCTCATCCCGAATATGGATTTCACGAAAGCCAGTCAGTCTGTGAAAGATGACAGAGGCAAGAAATTTGGACGCGATGAAGACCAGACTGATTCCTCTATGGATGACGCATTCCGATCGTGAGCCTCCCTTGAAAATTGGGACTATGACGGAGCGGCTCCAGTCGGTTGAGACAGTTCCTTGCTTCCACAGTTTCATTAGTAACTCGTATAAATCATCCGCAAGAGCAGGGTTCCCAAATTTGAAGAGGGCTGGAGGATGATCATCTGGTCCCGCGGCTTTATTTAACCTCAACAGTCCGATCTCACGTTCGACTTCTGAGCGAAAGAGTGGATCCAAAGGGACAGACCACGGAGCGGGCGATCAGTGGCCGGCGAGAAATGTAACAATTCCGACCGATTAAATTGCCTTTCAAAGTGCTCAGCCCAACGCTACAAGCGTTTTGACAAGTTGTGGATAGGCTGTCCACTCTCGTCACGTATAGTTTCATTAAGATCAGGTCTGCTGCTGCTCGTTTCCCGTATCAGACGGGCAGCGGCCGTTTCCATCTCCGAAGCACAATGAGACCACCAGGATTCGCGGTCTCTCTTCGGGCTAGCACGGAGCACTTTGCGAGTTTCATTGTGTCCGCTTCCAGCCGGAATATGCCGGCGAGCATCGATACGTTCCAGAGACTGCGAAGAGACCCAATGCCCATGCTGGCAATTAGACTTGCCACATGAGGATTTTCCTGTTGCAAGTAAGGTCTGGTGAATATGAGACCAATGAGTTGCAATTGCATCCAGTGAGCACGTATACAACTCGCATGACAGCATACTTCGATACGCATTCAGAACAGCTGGCTTCGCCAGTTGGCCGGTGTCAATGCGGTCACAACATCATCGTGGACGTCTGCCAAAAGGCATCCGCAGGTCAGCACATATAAGTGCATGGTCGGTGTCCACACATGTGCTCCAAATCGAGCGACAGTTCTGGATGCAGCCTCTCCAGCGGTAACATCGCAATGTGATCGATTTGCGTCCAAGGCTGGTGGGCGTCGTCGCGACGTCTCATTCTCACTAAAAGGCCGAGTTTACAGCGCGTCCGTTCGCTCAGTATTGTTGTATGGGAGCGAGTCCTGGCCGATTCGCGTGGAAGACATGCGTCGTCTTTCTGCGTTCGATAACGGTTGCTTAAGGAGGATCGCTCGTGTTCGGTGGCAACATCGAGTTACCAGTACTGACGTTCGTCGTCGCGTCTTGGGGAATGCAAGTATTTCCTTCAACAAACTGGTTTTGTTGCGCCAGTTAAGATGGCTCGGTCATGTCCTACGAATGGCACCTGAGCGTCTACCGCGTCGCGCTCTATTCGTTCGTCAAGGACCTGGCTGGAAGCGACCGCGTGGTGGTCAGCCTTCCACTTGGCGGCAGCACATGAAATCGCTGACGTCGTGTCTAGCCGCTGTTGGACCCGTACGTCTTCCAGGATGGGGACCCAAAGATGGGGAGTGCCAATGGCTTAGGACACTTGAAGACATGGCCCGCAACCGGAATCAGTGGAAGAATTGTGTACAGTGTTGTGTTGATTCACATGTTTAATTCTACAAACATTGAAAATGACAAAAAAAGAGAAAAATCGGCGTGTGACAAACAAACTAAAAATGTTTTGTTCTGTATTTTTGTCCAAATATTCCATTTTCTTGCGGCATATTAGCTGAAGTGTGTTGCCCACCTTCAGCTAGCATGCCACGACGATTATGACGTAATGACTGTCTCTTATACACTGATTTCCATGGCTTTCTTGGCTCTATGTCTAGTTACTAGACTTTTGAGATTACATACATACATACATACACCCTCCGGCGGATGATGTGTCGGAAATTAGTGCACGCAAGAAATAAGAGAGCATCCTCACACAAATGAAGTAACCTCTCACCGTTATCATTACGGGAGCCGACACCACGTTGGTCGCCCAGATGCAATTCATCATTGGATAATTTTCCAACTTGAGCGTTCAGATCCCCAGCCAGCACTACAGTGTCCGACTTTCTTCCGTGGCGAAGAAGCTCGTTCAGTTGACGATGGAAGTAGTCTTTTACCGAGCCATTGTTAGAGTTTGTGGGTGCATAGGCAGCGGTAAGGAATAGACATCTGTTAGTCCCACGCGACTTCGAAGCTTTGAACGAGCCAGCCAATCGCACCGTACACATCCGGCTACTGATTGGGATCCAAACAATCAGAGTAGCTTCAGCTCGGGGACTCAGGGCAATACCAATACCAGCTTGGCCGGTGCTCGAAGCTGCATCGTCACCGGATAAGCGCCATGAGAAAGTGATGCTAGTGTCACCTGAAGGGGGAAGTTGGAGACGCCGGCGATCAAATGTCTAAATGCAAATCAGCAAACTCTCGAGAGGACATAGGTTGTGCATACCGACCGCTGCCTATTGCCTGTGTCCAGCAATATGAAGCAGTTCTTTTTGGAAGAATACGAACTGATGATAGCATAAACACAAAAGGGGGCGTTGAGCGATCAATTACACCATCGTTCGATTAAGGAAGCGCTCTGCACTTTATACTATAGCTCCTATTAACTGTGACGAACGATAATCTACCGAAAATTACCTACATACTCAGCGTCAGGAATCCGAGTCCTACTGAGGTGCAAGAAGCTGGCGAGGTGGAGATACTCGAAACCGACACTGAATATGCTATTCTTGATCACTTGGCTCCGGGAAGTGAAAGGACTTAAAAATATTGACACCCGCAAGTGACCGGTGGCAGCAATGTGACAGGGAAGCGTCGATAAGACACGCCAGCGCAATGCTGATGCTATGTCGCATCGCTCAAGTTGCCACATAAACCGAACCGTGAATTCATCGGTGTCTCCAACGTAGAAATCTGTTAGTAAGGACCAAATTACAGTGTGTGCCAGCTGATATGTGACTGAGGCCAGTTGCGAAAGCGGGACCGATAGGACTCTGGCTTCCCGAATAAAGTAACAGGTGTCTAATTGGGCTCCGTCTAAGTGACCAGCATCCCAGCCCCTCGACCTTCGTAATTGGGTGGACCGTCGGTTTCATCGATGGGCAAACGCCTACTGATCAAATCATCGGACAGAGCTCGGGTCAGCGCACAAATTATTGTATCACGCCAATCCTCGTTTCCTTCGTTTCGCGGTGAATGTCGTAAAAAGCCAGATGAGGCCAGCCCCGTATAGGCAAAAACAACTATTTCTCAGCCGTAGGTTGCCAAAAGATTAGGAGCTGAATATCTGCCATTTGTTTTTGCACCTGAAGCGTGTTTGGTCGCGGTGACTAATGCAATTAGAAAGACCAGGCAAGGAACCGTTTGTGATTGGTTGCACATCAGTAGCTGAGCGGCAACAGTTACATATGTGAGCGATTTTCAGTCTGCAAAGTCGTACGATTAATCAGCTCGTGAGATGAATATGTTGTCTTTAAACGGAGGCACCCCTATCTACAAGGCACTATTCTAAATCGCCATTTAAATTGTCTTATTTTGACAGTAAATACATCATGATCGATGCACTGACTTCGTTTTTGATTCTCAGAAGGCTTTGCAAAACAGTCGTATACACTGCAGGGCATAAATATATCAAGCGACCGTTGTTAATAGCACTGAATGATGATAAGCGAGGGATGGACCAACAAAATCTCCGCTTATTATCGTGCCTTGAGAAATGCTACAAAGAACTAAAAGGCAACTATAGTGAAAGTGCTATATTGTCTCAAAGGACAGAAGTTCGGCGCTCTGGTATGCTGGCTGCATTTGCAGTAGGAAGGTAACCATTAGTGTCGTTAAACAAAATTTTGACTTAGGCAGCCTATGGAGTATGGTTATTTGCTATCAACCGCAATTAAATCTCACGTCAAGCAGAAGAGAATGTTGTGGATAGTGGATCATTTAGCAACATCTGTATCCGGGCAATTACTGATTCTAGCCGTTCATTTAAGAATACCGCAAAAAGATAGACAAAATAGCACCGAAATTTCATTGTGTTTTGAACAGCAATGAAATTCTTATGACGCATTCACATGAAGATGGGAAGACAGCGTTTGGAAAATCGCTTCATCAAATAATAATATCTGCTCAAACTTCATTGTAGCAGCGGACTAGCAGAGCGTGCGTTTTAGTGTCCAAACGATACGATACAGTGAACAAATTGTGTGCTTGTGAGGAGAAATCAATAAGAATCACAAGCATATACACACTACGAGTACAAGCAACGTAGACTGTAACTGCATTTTACAAACAAATAAATGATGATCAGCGAGCGCAGTGGATGAAAGATGAAGGAGTACTGGGCGCACTTAGACAATAGAATGAAATGTGAAGTTATTTGTCTTCCTGCTTTCGCTTGAAATCGTTCAGCGCGGCCCGAATGGCATCTTCCGCGAGCACTGCAAATAGGGATAGAATGAGTCGTTGTAACAGGCGGAAACGCGTAACCGGAAAAACAAAGTACAATACCGTTGGCTAGATGTGGGTGACTGTAACAGAATATGTCGGTGTTGAAAGGGAAACCATGCTGCTCAATTAGTAACAAAGTGAATGCTCTCCGATCATTAGTCAGATAACATGTAAACTGGGGACAAAGTATCCTGGCGCATGTTGTAGGAAAGAAAACCCGGAAAATGTGGTCACGAGAGAAAGATTCAATTAGACTTAAGATAAAAGCTCCAAAACAGAGCATAGATATAAAAATTGGGGACATCAAGTTCCGGGTTTTCACATCACTGAGGTTACGAATAGCCACATGACGCCGAGCCTACTACGGGACCAAGGACAGCTTACGCTGCACCCGCACACACCACATATCCAGGGGAAACTCGAAGTAATAAGAGCGGGAGGCAGGTAGATAGTAGCCACGACTGATTCGGACCTGGCACGAACTGTTATATATATATATATATATATATATATATATATATATATATATATATATATATATATATGCTTGGCACTGATATAATCCGCCGGAGCGAAGTGCACACCATGGACTGCATGCAACTGCTGCGACACCTCCGGTGGACTGGACACGTGCGCCGAATGGATGTAAGGAGAATCCAGAAGCAACTGCTGTTTGGGCAACTGAACTCAAGTGGCCGGAATGTAGGTAAACTAAAGTTATGCTACCAAGACAATATCAAGGTTAGTTTGTCCCGAGTAAGTATTGATCTAAGGGGTTGGGAGGACATGGCAACGAATCGCCGCAACTGGTGTGATTTCATCACGAGTACCATTGCCCAAGCGCAAGAAAAACACCTCGGGAAATTGAACATGCAGCACACAAGCATCAGCTGCCAGCGGACTACAATTCTTCGGCTACTCCCACACGGCCGTATGTGCCTTAGCCCAGCCGGTCTGGCCAGTCACCAACGAGGCCACGATGGGGCTATGCCGAACAGGCCAAATATGAGACCGAGCTCCACGGACTGACATGTGGTCCTTGGTGGTACGCAACTGAGAAGAAACAGTGCACGTTAACTCGGCCAAACATTATGGGGCAAGCTGAGTCAGAACAGAAGCTCCACTGTCTCGAAACATCGGAGGCGAGGACTTTTGCACAGATACTGTACGAATTCATTGTTGCAGCGCAGCGAAAACCACCCATAGTTTCTGTAAAGACGCAGGCGCACTCTGTATTTGCCCTACTGGTAATTCAATCACAGATGCTCATATGGGAGTGCCCCTATCCTGAGGTTTGATGTTGCATACACCATTCTTCTTCATCGCAGTTGGGCTACACTGACTTACCTCACCTTAGCATTACCAAAGCCTCCCAACACTTCACCTATTACAGTATCCAAAAGCAGCGCTTCCTCGCTTTGGTGGCAAATTGCAATCTGGTGGACATGTCGGAGTTGGACCAAGCAACCAAAGATAAATCGCTCCGGAACATCGGTGGAAAGTGAATAGTCCCGGCAAATAATTGACTAACGAGTAACATGATGACGTTGAGGTTTCATGTGCTGTTTCACATGTTATTCGTTAGAGTGATTAGTTATAATTCCCGTGCTTTATCCGTCAACTTCGACTTAGCTGAGCTTATGGAAATCAGCTGACTTGAGCACACCATTTCCCTAAAACTAGAAAAGTTGTCTACGCACGCTCCGTCATCTTTGTGTCATCCTTAATCCATCACTAATGTACATCTCGTTTGGGTACAGTTTCACTGTGCACACTGATTAACTACCGGCTTGGTGCAGTGTCGTATTTTTATTGCACCTGTCTAAGATGGAAGAGCCACATGTAACATCTTTTATTGGACTTACTTAATGACGTTAGGCGATTACTTTATGTGTTGCGCACTACACGTCGGTACCCTTCGTGACCTATGATACCCTTGTAACCTTCTCAAGTGGATACTAGTAAGGTGACGTACCGAGACGGATAACTACGGCAGCTTCCTCTTTGTATTATTATTCGTCCGACATTCACATTACTATGTAAGCTCCACAGTATTGACCAACAGTCTATGCAAGGCTGCTACTATCCTTCTTTTACCTACATTCTGCTCCTTGAAATCGATTGGTAGATTACATGATTCTATCTCGACCAGCTGCCCGATACCAACTACCACGACGCTTAGAGCCGGTACATTGTAATATAAAGGTGCAGTCCATCAGTGAGCTCATTCGTATTTGACGTGCGCGCGGTGTTTCCGAGCGAACTGAATGGTTGATATGGATTTATGTTAGGGTGGCAAATTATCAGGTACGTTTCCAGTTTGGTGGTAAGGCGTGAATCACAAATTACCAGCGCTTCGCCGCTTGCAGTGTCCATAAGAAGAGTAAAGTTTGAGATTTGGAACACAATACTTAACGATTATCCCTCGCGTGACTATGCATCGGAAGAGAAATCGACCTGAAAAATCCGTAGCAAGTGAACAATCCCGACAATTAACTGACTAGTGATTATTATGATGTCGACAGTTCACGTTCTGCTCCACATGTTAGTGATGAGAGTGAGCATAGTTATATTATCGTCAGTAGTGCGCATCCATCGGGTCCATCAGGAATCGAACCCATGACCACCAGCGGTTTGAACCGCCAGTCAGCAGTTTATGCCACTGGGCCAAGGGGACAGCATCGGACCGTCATAATTTACAAGCTAACTGCGATATAGCGCGTCTTATCCTCTACTGCCATGCAAGTTACGAACGTTGCAGAGGACAGGGTTGGCCCCGAAAGACACGACGTCCACTAACAGTAGCAATGTACGACATAGCATTTAGAAACTGTCAGGGCGGATATATTTTGATCTACTTAATTACACCAAAACCCCCTACTCATAAGTACATCAAAATCTAGGTCAACCATCATTTTACTATCGATAAATTTGACCGGATGCATCGGTATTCTCGATGAGCTTGGACAATGGCCATAGCGGACTTTAGGCGGCACATGACAGTTCGAGGCTTGAGGTAGTGGTTTTGCATGCAACTGGGATTTAGCAGGTAGTAATGCAGTTGCTATTCGCCGATCCACATTGTTGTCACTTCGCATGCAGGAAACAGCAATAGGAAACCCTACATGAATGCCAGAACTGATTATCTAAGAGGAAGCACTAAGCAGGGTTACCAGTTCAGATATCATAGTTATTGAAGAGTATGTGAATGCGCAATGGGCGTCTGAGCTCTTCAGAAGCAATGCTAGTATGGACTTAACTTCGACCGAACGGACAACGACGAGCGTCCGTCACTGCTGTGTGCGGAGCACCGGCTGTTTTTTAGTTGCACCGCTTTTAGATACAGAGGAAGCCGAAGTGCTATTTGGCGTCCTCCTGTAGTTGACCAGCGATGAACCCAAATTGATCACGTTGCCATAAGTTGCAGGTGGCGTGGTTCCATCCCGGAATGTCGCTCGTTCGGGAGTACCTGCGTCGACTCTGATCATGCTTTGGTAGGCTGTGGTTTTTTCGTGAAGTTTACCGAGAGGTGTACCAAGCGTCTCCCTCGACTGGCAACTGAGTCATCTTAGCCCTAGGTCAGGTAAGCCGACCAGGATGCATTACGTGCCAAAATTTCGATCGCTTGTTTTAATGAAACTGAGTTTCAGCAGTTAGTTTACAGCCTCCGTCAGCGGCCGTCAGGTCCAAAACGCGATCATAGCCCTTAATCGCCCTCGTGCTGATGATCCGGATTCTTCCGCACACGCACTATTTAACGATGGTATTGAGGCCTTCGGCAAAGCGCTGACCTTCCTGTTTGAACCGGTCTGGAAAGCAGACCATCCAGCTAACTGGAGTGAATCGATTATAGTGGCAATATACAAGAAGGGGAGTCGCACCGATTGTGGTAGCCAAAGCGGTGTTAGCCTAACGTCGGTTGCGACAAAATTGCCGGTCTCAACTCTCCTTTGTCGCCCCATTGTGGAACAGGAATCCCGGATTAAGAAACAGTAAGCAACCTTCCGCCCAGGACTTGGCTGTATAGACCACACATTCCCTCTGCGACAGGTGCTACAGCAGCGCCACACACACCGCAGAGCGACAATAGCTGTGTACCTGGATTCCAAGTGCGCGTTCGACTCAGTCCATCGACCAATTCTGTTCGAAATACTTGTGCCGAAAAGTGTTCAAATAAAGTGTGTGAACATTGTACGCGTTCTACTTTCGAACACGAAGGGCCGTGTCGGCGTCTACGGTGATCTTTCGGATATTTTTCTGACAAGTGGCGTTCCTAAAGATTGTCCAATTTCACCATTTTTGTCCAACTTCGTCGTGGACTCCATCATGCAGTGTTCCCTGGTGAAGCCTCACGATGCAGGCGTTCTGGTGCTGCCAGGTGGAAAGCTAGCTGATCTTGATCGTGCAGACGATACTGTCCTGCATTTTAAGGGTGTCGGGGTGGCGCAATCAACTCTGAGTAGCTTCCATAGAGTGGTCCCCTAATTTGGCATGCACTTCGTATCCTCAAAGTGCAAAGTGCGGTTATAGGACCACTAGCCACTTGATGAGCCCTTGACCACTGATGGCGAAGAACTCGAGGTAGTTGATCAATTCACTTACCTTGGCGGCTGCATCAGCGACAATGGACGTATAGCAACTGAAGTCAATTCATGCATTGTAAAAGCCAGAACTGCATTCTTGAGCCTGAGGCATCAGTAGGCATTTTCCATCCGTCTACAAGAGCGTGTAATCAAGGACACAGTGAGAACCGTCCTACTCTGTGGGAGCGAGACTTCGCCCGTCCGACCTAAGGGGTTGCGGTGTGTTCAAATCTATCACTATCGCTGTCTGCGAAGTATTGCTGGTGTCGGATGGCACCAGCCTGTCCGCAACAATGAGGTGTAATCGAGTGCTAGGCAGTGATAATCAAGCTAATTCCTACGAACAAAAATAGCATTGGCTTGGGCACGCACAACGTATATCTGGTCGCTGCTTACTGAGGAGTATCTTGTTTTGTTTACCATATATAGTGCGATGCAAGGCTCGTGGTGGACAGAAGTTGGCTTGGCAACAGGAGATGAAGTCAGTGACGACCAAACCGTCTCGCCTTCCAGGCCGGAGTCCACGTGATCAGCCTTGTGCTTGGCTTGAGACGCTACAGGACATGGCTCGCAGTCTGTACCGATGGCGCGATGCTGCCGTCTGCTAGTCGGTTTGTCTTTGAACATCATTATTGTTGTGGTACTGACGAGACAATATGAAATGCGCACATCTACCAGCGTTCGTCTTCCCACTGTTTTATTCAAACTATTGAAGAGGACTAACGGTTTAAAGTGTGTTTGGTGCTGAGTTATCTGTGGGATAACGGCTGATTATAAAGCGGGGCAGTGAAAGCCGCAAGGAAGCTGTCTCGCCGATGCCGCCTTATCTTTGTACGATAACCAGCTGTTTGTGATGGCATGTTGTCTACACAGGGTGTAGGCGTCTTGACGCTGAGTGTCTATTTAGAGCCTTAAGGTTGTACGCCATGTCCCCCTTCTCTCCCTCTTATTGTTCCTTCCGTAGGTCACCGTGGTTGTACGACAGCAATGCATCAATTCAAATGGCTGATGTACTGTTGTTGTTGTTGTTGTTGATGATGATGTGCGGTATTCGCCTCAGTCTCGATACAGAATCGTTGGCCAACAAAATCACTAGAGGCGTGTCTAACAGAATCCGATCAGACACTTGTCAGCGCGAGGCACAGTCGACATGAGCCGCATCGTTAGTAATAGTGAGGTAAGTTGCCAGAGTCCAGTCTGCGGGCTTACCGCGGAGCACGTGAGCTATCTGCTGCATCAGTACGGCCGTTCCGCCAAATATGGGAATCGGGTGCGAATGGATTGGTCAGCAAATACAAGCCCGTGTCAAAGGAGGCGAAGTATTCTGCCAAATATGCTAAACCCGTGAAGCGGAATTCATTCACATTGGCTGAGAAACAGAAGCTGAAGATCGGGGGGCCTGGGCTTCCAAAATTAGTATGTTTCGTTGACTTATCCTGTAGATACATACTCTCTGTCTACCGAACCTTTTGTATTCCTTCGGTTGGTTGGGCGCATGGTTGAGCAGTCAGACGGTCTCACAGGTGAAGCAAAGCAGAACAGTGTTGGTCTGATCAAGAACGTTGGAATAAACTTCTATCTGTCTTAATAGGGGGATGTTGTATGTTGGGAGCCCTCAAAATACGTCCAGACAGAAATAGGTCAAATCGGTTTCGGAAATTATCTAAGTTGTGAAGAAGCAGCTCGCAGTAGAGCAAAAATGTTTTGCTTTTCCATGTTTGTAAAAGAACGCCCAAACGAATGCCGAAGTGCGGTGATTGTGGTTAGTTTAATAGCACAATAAATGGGACGCTAGTTAGGCGAAGATCCGTATCAACGCCAGAAACTGACATGATTCGGCTACAGCCAGATTGGTGTCCGATGGGAGACTGAAATGTGACAGAAAATAGTCCAGACCGAAAACTTCACAGCTGCTCAAACCTTGTGCACGATACCTATTCATGTATATCCAAGTTACTCCCACGAGTTGACCAGCTAAAATACTTACACGTGTTATGTCAAAAAGTGTTTGCAACGTATTTTCAGGACACATGAAAATACTGTGCTTGGTCAACTCAGAATAGTCACCTGGATATACCGCGGTAATTGCGGCACATAAAGGAGGTGAAAGGAAGTATGTGCGTGAGGAAGCGCCAAGGAATTCGGATCGAGCGTCCGAAGAGTTGCGGAAAATATCACACATGGGACTAGTTTCGGTCCACCGTCGGACGCAAACCGGACTGTGCTGGTAGCGAACTTAACATGCCAGAAGGAATCGAATTGTCGTGCCGTAGTGGCTTACTGGAACAATGAAGCTTCACTGGTGGAAGTCTCAGTTCTTTTGCGATGTCGCTGTTCTTAACCAAGCTTGCCTCCTCCACTGTCTTGCCTTTTATCCACTCGGTGGCCAGTGAACTCGAGGCGATCGCGGATCCACAACCGAAAGTTTTGAATTTGGCATCTACAATGCGTCCTTCATCGTCGACCTATAGCAAGAAGGAAAACACTCATTATTATCCCATGAATTGGACAAAAAAAGTTCGGGAAGGGTTTAAAAAGTGGGTACTAGGTTGGTTGTGGAGCTACAGGAACAAGTGAACCACGAGCGGCTACTTAGCTTTGGTGTGCATTCAATGCACTACCAAAGACTTCAAGAAAACACAATCCTCATTTACTGTATCTTAACTGGAAAGGTTGGACCGGGCTTGACTGTCTAGACCTGCCTAAATGTCTGGTCTCCGCGGTTATCTCATGAAGGTGTACAAGTCACGCACTGAGCAGATAAGAACAGAAACCCGGTTATCGCGCCGAATTATCCGACCTCAGTTGGACGCGAGTGAATGGCAACCCGAAATGTTTCCTTTCTCTTGTCTATATCTATCTTCATATTTTGATTTTATCTTCTGTGCTTTTCCACACTCACTGGCATTATTCTTCACTCAAATGGTCTCTACCTTCTATTTCCCTCCTATCCCTTGTTTACGCCACGTGATAGGCACAGCAGGGACTGACTAGTGTAGGTGGACAGTAATTGGTTGACCAAGATCTGGTTCTAGTGTTCCGTTTTAAATCCATTAAGATCCCAGAGCACAGTAACAAATCCTGGCTCGACGATCAACTCAAGAAGAGACACTCATGCGATTCTCCTATCGTTCCAGTCCCCCCAGTACTTGAATTTGGAAGGAACAAGATGGTTGTTCCGCGAAATCGTGACAACATCGGGAGACAATTTGGAGGTCAGATGATGAGGTGGGTTGAGAATAAACAGGTAGTCTGACGGCAGCGAGAAAAAATGATCAAATTGCTACCGACCTGTTTCGACATGAAATAGAAGGCAAACGTTGACCGCGGGGTGCGTATCAAACGTGCTCCTTAGTTTCTGTATGTGGCTGGTTTAAACGACAAGCCATTTGAAATATACGGGTTTTGTTTCAAACTTGGACATGACTTGTTCCAAAAATCGTCAACAGAAATAAGCACAGTAGAGAGGTAGCTGACCTAATGTACAAATGTGACCGTCAAAAAAAGTTGAGATTATGAATGAGATGATCAATGCAGTTGCCAAGGACAACCGGAAAAATAAATTAAAAATTTGTGCGGCTAAGGAGATTATGCGCTAGATACCTTAATCTGTAACTTCATAACATCACCACAAGCAGGAGCTCCGACGAGTCCAGTCCCGACGGACTTATCACTTTTATCCAGAGAACCAACATTCCGAGGTTTTTCATAATGATCGATCACATTTTTATGGTAACCTGTTGCCGAAATGCGATAAAATGAGGGCGAAGGTACGCAGAGAGCAGCCCGGCGAATCATAGTGCGATACGCGTCCAGCCGAAGATTACGTGGGCTCTCGTGTCCAGTGCGTAAAGTGCGTCGTAAGAGAGTTGGGAGGCTGTAATGCGAAACAAACGATTCGCAGATGTTCGGACAAAATTAGAACCAGTTAGTGAGAGACTGAGTGAGATGGAAGAAAAACTTACCCTGATAACACTGAGTGTCCGACTTTTGTACGAGATCGAAGTGAAAACAGTATGTAAAAAACGGGAGCCTTTAAAGTTGCCAAAAGCTATTGGTTGTAAGCGAAAGACGTGATTAAAAATGCTAATAAAACTGTTTTCTCACAATCTACCCAGAGCAGCAGATTCCACCTTACACGTTTTGTAGCTTCAAACTGTGATAACATCATTAAACGACTAACTGCGTTAAGAGCACAACTGTCCGATTCCCATCCGATGACTACCCAATCTTTCTCAAACAATCTCCACGTGGCGTAAGTTGTGTGATTCGGGTTTTCTCGTTCCAGTAAATGGTTTTCAAACATGATGGGTTTTCGCTTCATAAGCGTTCTCTCTATAAGAAGCCAAAAATGTCTGTTTAACAACACTGGGACGTCCCGGAGGTGATTCGCCACGAAATAAAGTCGCTGCTCCTTGCTGCACTGCAGTGGACCACCGTATTCTATGATCCTCCTGCTGGGGAGGATCAGGTCAATGTTTGCTGATGGAGCTGCTTGGTAGGTTCGCCAGCATCTAGACCGTTTCTTGAGTAAATATTTGCCTGTGATATCTATCCATGGAGGCTGTGCCCTTAACCCTCTTTTCCTCATGAGTGGAATATAAGAAATGGACACCTCCGAAGGAAATACCTTAAATTTATCCCAGGCTAACTGGACAGAGTCAGCCATCGAGATCTCACAGTTCAGAACTGAAGCCTTAGCTCGCATTGCACTAAAGTCCGCCTGCCAAATATTCGAAAGTAATTCAACAGCGGTCTCTTGGTGCCTTGAAAGAACACATCGAAAGGATATGCATGCGTGATCGCTGGACCCTAGAGATGCACCGTATGTAACGTCAGTCACGGAGTCGAGGGACTTAGCGAACACCAGATCTAAAGTAGATGGTACTTGGTTGTCCATATACCTAGTGGGAAAGTCCACGAACTGCTGCAAAGGCACTTGGAGTGTCAGCTCAAGATAGTTTGCACTGAATGTTTCTGATGCCGAATTGCAAGAAAGATCGGCCCAACAGACTTCCTGGAGGTTGAAATCCCCTAGAACTAAACACTTATTCGCAGACAGTGCGAACAAAGTCAAGTATCCCTCTGGAAGAACTTCCAGGACTTCTGTATATCACTACAACTGTAAAATGGGTAGAGGAAGTTCACAAAACAGCCGGTCTGATCCGACCACTGGAATGTGCCGGTCCTCAACACATCTAAGTTACAGCTCACATACAATACAACGCCTCGGCCTTGGTGACCAACGGAGCGATCAGTTCCAAGCAGCGTGCAGCCAGGTAAACATACCTCACCGTCCGTGATATCCGGAGACAACCACGTTTCAGTGAAAGCAAGTATGTCGGAACGAGATTTGTCTACCAGGAGACCCAACTCGTGCACCTTGTTCCTTAGGCTAAGGAAATCATTACTGCGGTTTGCATTCAAAATTAAGGGTAGTGGTGTCAGCGTTCAAGCGGACCTACGACTGACAGATAGATCGACGTTAAAGGCTATCAAAGATCTCAAAACTAGACCGGCGGCTGGTGAGCAAGGCCTCCGTCTGGTGGGTTTTCAGGTGGTCAGCCGGAAGTTATTTTCCGCCTTATCAGAACACATCTGATGCCGCACGACCCAGCGACCCATTTTACAGTTGCAGTGATATACAGAAGTCCTGGAAGTTCTTCCAGAGGGATACTTGACTTTGTTCGCACTGTCTGCGAATAAGTGTTTAGTTCTAGGGGATTTCAACCTCCCGGAAGTCTGTTGGGCCGATCTTTCTTGCAATTCGGCATCAGAAACATTCAGTGCAAACTATCTTGAGCTGACACTCCAAGTGCCTTTGCAGCAGTTCGTGGACTTTCCCACTAGGTATATGGACAACCAAGTACCATCTACTTTAGATCTGGTGTTCGCTAAGTCCCTCGACTCCGTGACTGACGTTTCATACGGTGCATCTCTAGGGTCCAGCGATCACGCATGCATATCCTTTCGATGTGTTCTTTCAAGGCACCAAGAGACCGCTGTTGAATTACTTTCGAATATTTGGCAGGCGGACTTTAGTGCAATGCGAGCTAAGGCTTCAGTTCTGAACTGTGAGATCTCGATGGCTGACTCTGTCCAGTTAGCCTGGGATAAATTTAAGGTATTTCCTTCGGAGGTGTCCATTTCTTATATTCCACTCATGAGGAAAAGAGGGTTAAGGGCACAGCCTCCATGGATAGATATCACAGGCAAGTATTTACTCAAGAAACGGTCTAGATGCTGGCGAACCTACCAAGCAGCTCCATCAGCCAGTACCTATGATAGTCATCGAGAGATTAGAAATAAATGTAAGCACCATCTCAGAACTCTTCGTCTCCAGTACGAGCAAAGTTTAGCAGACGGCCACAGCTAATTCTAAGAAGTTTTTTGCTTACGTTAAAAGACGCAGCGCGGCAAAACTGTCTATACCAGCGTTATTGCAAGCCGACGGGACCCGTGCGCAAACTGACTATGACAAGGCTTGTACACTTAGTGATCAGTATACTGGGTTCTTAGCTCGGGAGACCTCTTTACCACAGGTTGAACTGGTTTCAAGAGTTGATCTTACGAGGTATCTGGTCGCGCCCTTCACTGGGTGTCTGCCTTCCTTGAGGGGAGGGAACAGTACGTAAGGGTGGGGCGTAGCCTTTCGCTCAGGCAAGCTGTCCTTAGTGGCGTCCCGCAGGGCTCGGTATTGGGGCCATTGTTGTTCGCGATCTATGTAAATGACTTGCCGGAAGAGCTAGGGTTGTCATCACTAATGTTTGCTGACGACCTTAAGCTCTGGAGTAGTGTGGATATCCCGGGGGGTCCTGAGGCAATTCAACATGCCTTGGATAGGCTCTGGGAATGGTCTACCTTATGGTTGATGCCCATAAATAGGGCCAAGTGATCTGTTTTCCGAATCGGAGCAGCTAATCCTCCCACCCGATATGTTGTCGGCGGTGATGAACTCCCTGTTGTCACTCAGCAGGTTGATTTAGGGGTCGTACACGCATCAGTACTTCATTATGGCGACAATTGGAAGAAGGCTGCTTGTCAAGGGTTTCGTATGATGTGGTTTATCCGCCGCTCTTTCGGAATCCTAACGGCCAATTCGTTTGTGAAGCTATTCTCGGCATTCGTCCGACCCCACCTGGAATAATGTATCCAAGCTTGTCCACCATATCTTAAACGAGACAACATGGAATTGGAGAGGGTGTTACGAGTGGGCACTCGGCTAGTGCAGGGTCTACGGGGACAGACGTATCCTGAACGCTTGCTCAGTTTGGGGATGTACTCAATGCACTACCGAAGGATAAGAGGGGACCTGATTCCACTTATCGTATTTTGACGGGTAAGATTGGCCCGGACTTTTCAGGGCTATTTAGTCCCACGACGTTACCTAATCTCCGCGGTCACCCACTGAAACTGCATAAACCATGGTCTGACAGAATTAAAACGGAAACTCCTGTCGCGCCGCGTTATAGATTGATGGAATTCGCTTCCAGATCACGTGGTTAGGGAACCTACGGTTAAGGGTTTTGCGCGCCAGCTCGATGCTCTTTGGTGGCAACAGCAAACTTTTCCTTTATTTTAGCTGACTCACCTTCACTTTTCGGTTCTTTTTTTAATGACTCAACTATCTTGGTATTGCACTTGCTTAGCTCTTTCCACTTTCTCTTTTGCCTTCTGAGTTTACTTTTTTCCCTTTCTTAATTCACGTAACCGGCCCAGCAGGGACTGCTAGGGCAGGACACGTGGGCATTAATTGGTTGGACAGGGTGTGATGCGGTCTTTGTTTTAGGTCCATCAGTATTTCAAAGTCCGCGAACTCCTGGTTCAACGGCATGCCGAAGAAGGAACACACACGGGATAATCCTATCGTTCCAGTCCCGCTTGAATTCGACCTTGAACGTACTACCTCAAGGAAGTCGGCACCATCATCCCTGGGTCGTGTGCCATCAGGATGGCTTCTGATAGGGCGGAAAGTAACTTCCGGCTGACGAGTAAGGGTGACACTGAGAATCTTGGAGTTTGGTTTGGACTGCCAGATGGTTAACTAATTATTCTTATGTTTATTTTATTTTTTGAAATTACTTACCCTAGATGTTTGACTCGTTTTGTTCCGAACATGCTTTTTGTGTCATTGGATGTGATGTTGTACTCTCAAGCAACGTTCAGAAAACGATCTAAATTTCTTCGATGTTCGATAGTCTTTTCCACAGACCATAACGTTGTCTATGTAGGTAAACGTACTGACCAAATTTTCCCTGGAGATTATTTTGTCAATGATTCTTTGAAAGCAAAAGACGTCATTGATTACTCCGAAAGGTATGCGACAGAATCGATAAAGCTTGCCATACGGTTCCCTGCCGTGTATAACAGCGCATGCTCTCGTCTCTATTCACAGAGGAATAAAGTAGTACACCTGAGCAGTGAAAGACAGACCAGAGAATGAGGAATCAAGAGCTTGGAAATCAGGCTTTGTTCCTCGGTGAACAGAAATGAGAGTTAAGTGTAACGAATAGGTCGGTGGTGATAACACATGCAAAGTTGAATAAGATCACAAGCTTTTGCTATGCGGTTTGTGACATCGTCTCGATTCCACCGGTTCTGATACAATTGCTAGGTAGTTAAATCTTTGAATGTCTTCCAGCTGATCACTACCAGGAATCTGCGTAAGTGGTAGTACTTGCCAACCTTGATAGCTTGGCACTTCGAGGGCGCAAAGCGAAGCCTGAAACGGTTGACAGCTAATGCTAATCTGTCCAGTGCCACTTGACACGTTTGGGAGTTGTCACATAGGACAGCAATGTTATCAGCACATTCAAAACGAAAGGTCGTTCATCTGGGAGAAGCTCCACACCTTCTAAATCGCCTTGTGAACGCGATG